GTATAGTTATCACCAAAAAGACAGAAAAATAACAAGTACTGGTGAGGATATAGAGAAATTGGAACCGCCACCCTCGGCTGGTGGTAAAATGTAAAACGGTTCAGCCACTTTGGAACAGTGAGGCTTTTCCTCAAAAGGTTAAACACAGAGTGACCACATGACCCAGCGATTCTACTCCCAGGTAAATAAGCAAGAGAAATGAAAACATATACCTGCACAAAAACTCGTACACAAGTGTTCACAGCAGCATTCTTTACAATAACCAAAAAGTGGAAACCATCTAAATGTCCATCAACCGATGAACTAAGAAATAAAATGTGGTCTCTTCATACAATAGAATATTATTCAGCAATAAAAAAGGACTGAAGTACTAATACATGCTATGACATAGACGAACCTTGAAAACATGGTGTTAAGTGGAAAAACCCAAAAACAGAAATCCACATGTTATATTCATTGCATTAAAAGTCCAGAATACAGCCAGGCCTGGTAGCTCACACCTGTAATCCCAGCACTTGGGGAGGCTGAGCCAGGCAGATCACCTGAGGTCAGGGGCTCAAGAACAGCCTGGCCAACATGGTGAAACCCTGTCCCTGCTAAAAATACAAAAAGATTGGCCGGGTGTGGTGACACACTCCTGTAATCCCAGCTACTTGGGAGGCTGAGGCAGGAGAATCGCTCGAACCCAGGAGGTGGAGGTTGCAGTGAGCTGAGATTGCACCATTGCCCTCCAGCCTGGGCGACAGAGTGAGACTCCATCTCAATCAATCAATCAATCAATCAGTCAATAAAAAAGTCCAGAATAAGCAAGTCAATGGAGAGGAAAATTCGTCAATGGTTACCTAAGGCTGGGGGGTTCGGGTATGGAATGGGGAGTGACCGCTAATGGGTATTAGGTTTCCATGTGGGTGATGAAAATATTCTAAACTTCTTCTAGAGTTGATGATGGTTATGGTTATACAACTCCGTGACTATACTAAAAACAACTGAATTGTATACTTTAAATGGGTAACCCATATGGTATGTGAATTAAAGTATAAAAAGAAGTTGAAACATCACAACAAGAAAATGCACATACAAGGACGGATGTTGTTATAAGGTTTTGTGGGGGTGTTTGTTTGTCTGTTTGTTTGTTTTCTGAGACAGGGTCTCACTCTGTTGCCCAGACTGCAGTGACATGATCTCAGCTCATGCAGCCTCCATCCCTGGGCTCAAGAGATCCTCTTGCCTGAGCCTCCCAGATGGCTGGGACCACAGGTGTGCACCACTACACCTGGCTAATAGTTTTATTTTTTGTAGAGAAGGGGTCTCACTATGTCTCAGGCTGGTCTCAAATTCCTGGGCTCAAGCAATTATCCTGCCTTGGCCTCCTAAAGTGATGAGATTACAGGTGTGAGCCACTGTGCCTAGCCTATAAGATTTTTAAAATCAGAAAACACCTAAATGTACATAAAAAAGGGATGGTAAGATAAATTATGTTCAGTACTATGAACAAATATTAAGCAAACATTATAAATCATCTTTGGAATAGCTACTATCACGAGGAAATATGCTTTAACCTTAAGAGGAAAGGCAGAATGTAAATCTACTCTTAGACTCACAAGCACACACACACACAAAACACACACAAGCACACACACACACAACACACACACAAGCACACACACACAAAAAACACACACAAGCACACACACACACAAAACACACACAAGAACACACACACACAAAACACACACAAGCACACACACACACAACACACACAAGCACACACACACACAAAACACACAGGTGAAAATTATAAAAGGAGATTCACAATCAGTGAAGAGTGGTTCATTCTGGATGGTGGGATAACGCTGGGATTTTTATTTTCTGATCTTTTCTCTGTAGTTTTTATATTTTCTACCCTGTATATCTAATTAGGAAAATTGTTTTTTAAAGATTTTTAAAAGACAGTTTATTTCCACAACTTACTGGAGATTTATAGACTACAAGAGCTGAATAAAAAAGGATAAATCAGGTATAAAACCTTCTCATTTTCCTGATGAGGGAACCAGAGCCCAAAGAGGCTAAGGGGCTTGGCACTCTCTCAGTCACCTTGCCAGAGCCTGTGAAACTGAAACAGGTCCTTTCCTCCTCTCGCCTCCTTTTCCTTCTTTCTTAACGACCCTGTCTCTTGCGCACACACACAAAGCAGCTCAAAAAATTGAGAGATTTCTTTGCCCGAATTAGCCTCTGTTCTAACATTTCTACCAGGTGAGGCGGGAGAGACCCAACAGCTTCTCTCCCGGAACATCAGAGGGCGGTAGCGAGTCAGGCCCGCGGAGCGCCCCGCACAGTGGAGGAGCCACAGCGGGGACAATCATCCGTTTTGGCAGGAGAAGCACAAGAAACTGATTGAAATTGGCCCTGGAGTCTTCAGCTCTCTCTGGTAAGCCCGGGCTTACAGTCTTTGAAGTGGGGTGCTCTGGTTCCCATCCACAAGAGCAAGAAAGGGATGACGCCCCAGGGAGCCGCCCGAGCACCAGCTGCCAATGCTGCTGGAGCAGCAGCCCGTGATCACCTCGTTTTCCTGCTCCCGGTGCCACCCGAAAGGGACGCTGCGGCCTTCGGCTTCCCGGGAGGCAGCGCAGATGGACGGCTGCAAGGACGCGGGGGGAACACGTCTATCCAAACGGCCGGCTTCTGCTGCTGGCCCCTGGGGTCCCAAGCCCTCCAAAGATAAGAGAATCAGGCGAGAAACGAGAGCCCAGGACTCTTCCGCAGAAACAAAAGGTCAGTGAAACTTGGCAGGCCTCCCTGTTCCTGAATGATTCCCAGAGGACAGTAAATTTGCAAAGTGGTCAGTGTTGAAATCCAGACATATGGGCCTGGTTGCAGAAGCCCGGCTCCCCTCCTGTTGCCTCCACAACAAGTGAGAGTGAAATACACAAAGTTGAGGGCACGGGGGTTCACCCCTTGCCATTAATTTCGATTAAATAAACTTAGCCCAGACATAGGGCTCTACTGTTCTGCTTTAGCCGAGGTGTGCGAGAAACTCCAGCTCTGCCACTCACTGGTCAAGTGAACCCACACACACGGGTAAGTTTTCTGTGCCTCAGTTTCCTCATCTGTAAAATGAAGGCAATACTAATAGTATCTACCTCAGTTGTTATGAAGCTTTACATAGTCTCTGACTACAATTAGTGTTCAACGAATGGTAGCTATTATCTGCTACTAATGATGATTAGGATAAAGATCTTAAAATATGGAATTTTTCTGCCCTCATTTCATAAGAAATCAGTTCAATGTCTTGGGGCCTTTACTGTTAGGAAATTCTCTCTTACTTTAAGGACCCTCAAGAAGCTTGTTGGACAACCATGAAAATCAAGCTAGAATTAATACACTAGAAACCCCTGTATCACACAGCTAAAACTTATCTCTAAGTATCTGCCCCAGGCCATTTAAGCTGAGGTGTGTCTCTGTTCTCACCTAAGTTGCTGGTTATAGAAGTTGTTCCTGAAAGGCCAATTCACCAGGGTTTGATTGGAAGGTTCTAGAAACACAATGTCTACACTTTTATAAGTTGCTCTAGTGCCAGTGGAAAGGCCAAGTAATTCATCATAATAGGTAGATGCTAGGACAAACACTTAGATGCTAAGATTAATGAATGGAGAACATATTTTCTAAAGTTGGGCATGACAATATCCACCATTCCATCTGACACTCTTCCCATGGCAGGTTTTGCATCTTCTCCCATTGAATCTGGGAGGGCTTGGGCACAATGCCACATGACTTCCGGGGTTAAGTCATACAGGACAGTGCAGCTTCCTCCCAATCTTCTTTGGGACGCTCATTCTTGGAAGGCAGCCACCAAGCTGTGAGGAAGACCAATCAGCCACTCAGAGAGGCCATGCATGGGGGCTTCGTGTGACAGCCCCAGCTGGGGTCCCAGCCAACAACTCCCTCAATCTCCGGACATGTAAGGGTACCGTCCTTCAGATAATTCTAGACCTAGGACTGGACACATCACTCCATGTGTCCCCAGCACCCCAAGAGTTGGAGACCTTCAGAAACCTCATTTCTAGTTACCAACTCCTGCCTTAGAGCAAGCGTTTTTAAACATTTTGAGTATCTTATCCTATGTTTTTGTTTTTACCAACAGTCTTACATAGAACCCCAAACATAATTAGATAAAGCTGGTGTTGCATTCATTGACATGGGTTGGGAGGAGACCAGAAACTGGCCTGATGTAACTGTTGCCTAACGTCTTCCTCTGTTCAGTGTGAAAGGTAAAAAATCTTGGGACCCCAAAATCCTTAAGCCAATGGGACAAGTCAAGCTGGGAGCTGCGTCAGGCAAACCTGCCTCCCATTTAAGTTCTAAATAAGATGACTACAAAGAAAAAAAGCTACAGACCTCCCTCGCAATTTGCCCACTAGGAAATTTCCTTGTGTGTCCCAAGATCTTTACCCTAAAATGGATCCGTTGAATTTTATCCTGACAATGTAAATTGATCACTTATCTTCACAGGATGGAGACAAAGGACAGAACTCAAAGTCATCCCTCTGCTCACCTGAGACAAGTGCATATCTGATTGCTTCCTCTGATGTAAGAAAGTAGTCACTGAGCTAGACAAAGCATAAGTGACGTATCCTCTACCCCCTCCCACAAGTGAATTGTGTATTTGGTGAAAGGCTGATCAAAGACTCCAAAGAATGCAACCACTTGTCTCGGATCTCCCCACACCTTTCCAAAGGTTCTTCTTCTTTCCCCAATATTCTCCCTTTAATTATTGAAGCCTTCAAAATCATCATTGGAGAAAGGCACCAACCTGCCTCCCAGGTGCACATCCTCAACCTTGGCAAAATAAACTTTCTAAATGATTGAGATCTGTCTCAGACACTTTTTGGTTCACACCAATTTCCTGGGTCTTTCAGGAACCCTGTTTGAAAACAGGTGAGCACTTCCGGACGACAGCACAGATGGGCACCGCAACTTTCCCAAAGATCTTCCAACTCAAGTAAAGTGGCAAAAAATGTGTATTCTAAGCCTGTGTGACCCCAGCCCCTTCATCTTCAGCAGACTAAATTGAAGTGCTGTCTGCTCCTCTGGTCCTCTTCAGCCAGCATGGGACTGGTGAGGAGAAGGCTGTGCTGGACTCCTCGCCGCCCAGCTACCTGACCTTGGTGTTGAGCTTCAGGTACGCGACATAGTGTGTCAGGAGCAGCCTTTGGAAGGCGCCGCTGTGGAAGGCCCAGGCCGGGATCAGGCTCAGAAAGCCCGCCTTAAACAGAGAGAAGCGTCAGTGTTGGGGAGGAAGGAATGACAAGTACCTCAGTTCATCTTTGTGGTCTTTAAAAACATTTTTTTCTGACTACTAAAGTGGAGCCCCAGAACCTTTTATGTCATCGATAAAGTTTAAGGGTCTCGTGACACTTTCTCAGCACACAAGGTTTTCTCAGACACCAAAGGAGCCAGTCCTTTCAAACTCCTTTGGACGACCTAGTAGGATCAGCCCTAAGGAATTTTTTTTCTTTGAGACAAGGTCTTGCTCTGTTGCCCAGACTGGAGTGCAGTGGCATGATCACGACTTACTGCAGCCTCAGCCTCCTGGGCTCAAGGGATCCTCCCACCTCAGCCTCTTGAGTAGCTGACACCATAAGAGTGTGTCACCATGCCTGGCTAATTTTTTCTTTCTTTTTTTTTTTTTTTTCAGAGACAGGGTCTCACTATGTTGCCCAGGCTGTGCTCAAACTCCTGGGCTTAAGTGATCCTCCTGCTTTGGCCTCCCAGAGTGCTGGGATTACAGGTGTGAGCCACCGTGCCTGGCCTGGAAATTCTAAATGAAGAGAACTCTGTGTTAACCACCTCCTGACTTACTCTTTCTCTTAGTAAGTATGCCCCCTCTTGTCTTCAAGTCCTTTCTACCAAGCTTCTGTTAAAATGAGGATCCTGGGCCAGGCGCAGTGGCTCACACCTGTAATCTCAGCACTTTGGGAGGCCAAGGCAGGTGGATCACTTGAAGTCAGGAGTTCGAGACCAGCCTGGCCAACATGGTGAAACCCTGTCTCTAGTAAAAATACAAAACTTAGCCAGACATGGTGACGCATGCCTGTAGTCTCAGCTATTCAGGAGGCTGAGGCAGGAGAATCGCTCGAACCCAGGAGTTAGAGGTTGCATTGAGCTGAGATCGTACCATTGCCCTCCAGCCTGGGTGACAGAGCGAGAGTCTGTCATAAATAAATAAATAAATAAATAAATAAATAATAAAAATGAGGATCCAGGAAAGAATCAGAAATGCTTTCCATCATTTGGCACAACTCCAAGGCATAGCAGGCGCCAGACAAATAACGTGAAGCCTGGATGAATGGAAGTTAGTCACAGAAAGGTGTGTATCGACATGCAGCAGATGCTTTTCAAAGAGGGGGAAGCCTTCAGCTCAACGCACTTCAGGCTGTAGAAAGATTCCTTGCCACCAAACTGCAACTGTGTCTTGCACAGTTCTGGGGTCCAGGATCCCGGAAGCAATCATTTTGTTCACAGCATGACTTTATTAATCCAGCATGCCTCAATCTACCTACTCCCTACAGAACAACAGGATTCCAACCAGAGGAAAACTTGAGCTTTGGGGGAAGTTATTCATGTTTCGTCAGCCAGCACAGATCCTCAGATCTCTGCATTCCTCTGAGATATTCGAAGACAAGGGACTAATGACAGCTTCTGGGAGCCAAAGCTGACCTCTCCTCCCACTAGCCACGTCGCTGAATCAACACAGCTTCTTCCTCAAGGACTTCATTTTTCTCTCTGAGCTTTCTTATCTCACAGCAACATCAAGCCCTTTCAATAGCTCTGTCCTGAACAAAATGTTTTGGCATAGTGAGGTCAGCCATAAAGAAAATAAGCAACATAAATTAAAATTCCAGCCCCCTTGAAAAAGTCCTAAAAGAGTCCCTCTTCCATCTCCATCTTTGTCTACCCCCTCCCATCCTGGAAGGGCCATGTAAGAGCCAGAAAAGGCTGTGGCCGCAGATAAAAGTGGACTGAAATTCTAGCTTCACCATTACCAGCTGGGTGGTCACAGGCCAGCTGTTGGCGCTCTGAGCTTTGTCTTCCTCCATTGTAAAAGGGCGGCTCTAAGACCTATCTCCCAAGATTATTAGTGCAACTAAGCGAGGCAGCGTGCGTGAAGCCTCCAAGCACGACAGGGTCTCCATAGGTGGGGGCTCCATCCCTGCCTCGGTCCCAGCCCCATGTTCCCCTCAGGTGGAGGGCATGCTATCTTTGCCTGGCCTCTTGGTAATAAACGGGTCGCTTATTTACCATTTGATTCTACATGATTGCTTCTCTGTTTAGATACAATGATCTTTCTAAATCCTGGCAAACTCGAAATTGGCTTTAATGATTAATGTATTTTCATTTATTTTCTCTCCTGCTTCACCAGGCACGAAAACTCCTTTTCTTGGTCTGTTCTTGGCAACTGTTTGCCTGAATAAATTAGCATCTGTTATCTAAGAAATTAAAAGGAAAGGTCAAGATAATACTCCGGCCAGGCACGGTGGCTCCCACCTGTAATCCTAGCCCTCTGGGAGGCCAAAGCAGGAGGATCGCTAGAGCCCAGAAGTTCAAGACCAGTCTGGGCAACAACGCGAGCCCCAGCCTCTATAAAAACAGTTTAAATATTAGCTGGATGTAGTGGCATGTGCCTATAGTCCCAGCTACGGCGGAGGCTGAGGTAGGAGGATCCCTTGAGCCCAGGAGTTCGAAGAGGCTGCAGTGAGTTGCGATCCTGCACTGCACTCCAGCCTGGGCAACCTGCCTATGTCAAAATTAAATAAAATATTCAACTTTGACCCTGTGTCAAGATAAAATTTTATTCTATTTCTATAAAAATAAAATGTTTCTTTTCCTACAAGGAAACATTTTTCAGATGCTGATGAGTTCTGTTTAAGCCATCAGCATCCTGGAGGACTAAGGTCACAGCGTGCTCCTGAAGATGGAAGGGACGCCATCCCCACTGGAGAGAGCTAAGCTGTGACACCAAGAAAGTGCACAAGAAATATGTAGTTTTGGCCGGGCGCGGTGGCTCACGCCTATAATCCCAGTACTTTGGGAGGTCGAGGCAGGCAGATCACCTGAGGTCAGGAGTTGGAGACCAGCCTGGCCAACATGGTGAAACCCTGTCTCTACTAAAAATCCAAAATTTAGCCAGGTGTGGCGGTGCACACCTGTAATCCTAGCTACTCAGGAGGCTGAGGCAGGAGAATCGGTAGAATCTGGGAGGCAGAGGCTGCAGTGAGCCAAGATTGCACCACTGCACTCCAGCCTGGGCAACAGCGAGACTCCATTTAAAAAATATATATATATATATAGTTTTTCTTCCCTGGAGAGAGTGGGAAGTGGGAGGAGAGAAAGAGAAAGGCATGGTCAGAAGTGTGTCCTCTGTTCGATGTGAGCTCTGGGCCTAGGCTGGGGGCTGAAGGATAAGGCCTGGCGCGTGAAGGATGGAGAAGTGTGATTCATGAGTAAGGGTGGCACTGAGGGCAAAGGAGGGGCCATTGCCCCCGCTCCTCTGGGGTGCAACCACAGGAAATTATCTCAGCATGGGGAGATAGGTGCTGAGATTTGATTTTCCCAGCTTCCCTCGGGTCCACGTTGGTGCTGATGTAGAGATAAGAAGAGCCAGAGGTCTCTATGGATCAAAGCTACAGATGGACCTTGTGCCTGTAGCTGGAGGGGGATGTGGCAGGTGCAGCAGTCTGCTGCCCTCAGCAGCTGGGGAGGCCTTGTCAGGGCACCCACTGGCCAAGTCAAAAGGATAGAAAGGCTCATCTCCCTCATCCTCCACAGACATAAACTTCAGCAAGGTGAACAGCCACCCAGGACACCAGCCCACACACACGGAAGGACCGTCAGGGACCACAAGGCATCCTCTCCCAGCGCCACCTAGTGGGAGGGGCAGGAAGAAGGGAGGCTCCAGGGAAGACTGAACACTTCTCCCTAAATAACAGACTGAGAGTACATTTCCTAAATGGCCAGTTCAGATGACGAGATCAAACTCAGTTTAGACTCATTGGACGTTTGATGAAATTTCCTGCAGCAAGTAGTGATCTGGAAAAAGACCAGATCAGCAATAGAAAAAGAAAAGACCTTATATTCGCTCTGTGTGTCTGCTTTGTCGTGTGAGTCACACTGGTGATTCTGCACATTGTTGAGGTTCTACACAAAAATAACAAGTAATCACGTGAGAAAGTTCAATATCTAGCCGGGCGCGGTGGCTCACGCCTGTAATCCCAGCACTTTGGGAGGCCGGGGCGGGCGGATCACGAGGTCAGGAGATCGAGACCATCCTGGCTAACAGGGTGAAACCCCGTCTCGACTAAAAATACGAAAAATTAGCCGGGCATGGTGGCGGCACCTGTGGTCCCAGCTACTCGGGAGGCTGAGGCAGGAGAATGGCGTGAACCCGGGAGGCGGAGCTTGCAGTGAGCCGAGATCGAGCCACTGCACTCCAGCCTGGGCGACAGAGCAAGACTCTGTCTCAAAAAAAAAAAAGAAAAAGAAAATTCAATATCTCTTGCCAGAGTCTTCTTTAAGTCCCAGCAGATAAAGGAATGCTTTGGGAGACTTAGCACATGGAGCCATAAATCCTTCTAGCACCCATGAAAGAGAGAGAGAAAGAGAGTTCCAATTCCCAAAGGAGAAAAGCCAATGAGACAGAGGAGGAAGCTGGCAGATAGTGGGTAAGTGAGGAAACCTCTTCTAACTTTCTTTAGTGGGACTGGAGTCGGAGCTATGCCAATGTTATGTTTGTTTCAGTATTAGTGAGCAATACTCAAGTCTACCTTTGTTTCATGTTTGTGTTTGTTTTTAAAAGCAGCCCGGGCCAGGCGCAGTGGCTCACGCCTGTAATCCCAGCACTCTGGGAGGCCAAGGCGGGCAGATCACGAGGTCAGGAGATTGAGACCATCCTGGCCAACTTGGTGAAATCCCATCTCCACTAAAAATACAAAAATTAGCTGGGCATGGTGGCGGGCGCCTGTAGTCCCAGCTACTTGGGAGGCTGAAGCAGGAGAATTGCTTGAACCCAGGAGGTGGAGGTTGCAGTGAGCTGAGATCGCGCCACTGCACTCCAGCCTGGGCAACAGAGCGATATTCCATCTCACAAAAAAAAAAAAAAAAAAAAAAAAAAAAAGCAGCCCAGGAGTGGTTGGTAAGAGCCTCTTGTGCCATATGCTGGATCTGTGGCGTGCTGGAGCTGGCTTGTACTCACTCATAAGAGCCCGCTGTGATCATTCGCAGCAAATTAACACAGAAACAGAAAACCAAACACCGCGTGTTCTCGCTCATAAGTGGGAGTTGAACAATGAGAACACATGGACACAGGGAGGGGAACATCACACACCAGGGCCTGTCAGGGGGTGGGGGGCAAGGGAAGAGAGAGCATTAGGACAAATACCTGATGCACGTGGGACTTAAAACCTAGATGATGGGTTGACAGGTGCAGCAAACCACCATGGCACACGTATACCTATGTAACAAACCTGCATGTTCTGCACATATATCCCAGAACTTAAAGTAAAATTAAAATTAAAAAAGAGAGAGCCCACTATGCACCACGCACTCCTGAATTCACACACACGGCATCATGCCAGTGGTTTAAACTCAGCCATGCTGGGAGTATTTATACCATAGAAGTCAAATGCTACACGGCAAAGTGGTTTGTGTTGGTTTTGCTTTTTTCCCTGGAGGGCTGATAGCTAAACATTGACTGGAATAGAGGGTCAGAGAAGACAGCAGCCCCCACGTGGAAGCACCATATATCTTGGTCTTCCCTGCTCAAGAGCTCCTGGGAGCCACTTTACTTTCTGAGGGAGGAGGGAGGCAGCCAAGAATGAGACTTGCCAACTTGGGGGTTATCTAGAGGCTGAGCTCCCAGGCTCCGGCTTCTCCCCACCTTGCCACATAGTCCTTGTCCCTGCCTATCTTACTGCTGGGAGCATACCCAACACATCGATGAGTGTTCCAGCAGCAAGGAAGAGCTAGCCCAGCCCTGCCAGGGCCACCTGCGTGTCCTCCCTCCCTGGCTTCAAGCAAAGGAGAAGTTATCAATTACCAAGATTTCATGGGCAAGGCAGCCACAGGTTTCACCTCCGATTGTGACATAATTCAGTGACTCTTGGACAAACTCATCAGCAGTCTTGGTTATCACATTGGTATTTAGATACTTTGTCATTGCAGTCGAGACGGCATATGGGGTCAGCACCTACAACGGGAAGCAAAGACCATGGCACAGAAGCAATCCACTCCGGAAGAAGACTCTGAGAAATTAACACTCAAGACCCCGTCCCACCACTTCCCGACCCTTCTCTTCCTAGGCAAGGTTTTAAGATCTTCAGTGGAAAAAGGCACAGAACTGGCACAGAGCTGGGAATCAAAAATTTGGTTTCTCAAGATGAGGACTTAGCCGGTCAACAACAGGTGGCCCAAATGCCCTGCCCAACACACAGCATGAACGGGAAGAACTCGGGTCTCTCTCTCAGAACCGAGTTGCAAGACAGCAAATAAAAATACAGGATGTCCAGTTAAATCTGAAGTTCAAACAATGAAAATCACTTCAGCACAATCGTGTCCCAAGTATTGCATGGGACATACTCATACTGAAAACTGTCCATAGGCATCTGAAATTCAAATTTAACTGGAGGTCCTGTATTTAATCTAGCAACTCTGCCTCAGAAGTTTGTTTCTAATACATATAACCAAAGTTGGAGCAACTGAAAGCACTTTGGATTCCCACTTTCACACTTCAGTTAGGAACCAAGAGTGGCACATACCTCATAACCTTTTCCTGTTGTGGTAAGAAAAACAATCACACATTGTGCCCTAAAAACCCAACACCATGTTTCCACCTGTGGTCTAACCACATTGTGGCCTGGCACGAGGATTTGTAATAGGGTTTTATTACCTTATTCCGAGAACAAAGTGTTTGGCATCTTTAGAAAGAAAAAAGGCCGGCATGATGACTCACGTCTGTAATCCCAGCATGTTGGGAGGCCAAGGCTGGACGATTGCTTGAGCCCAGGAGTTCGAGACCAGCCTGAGCAACATGGCAAAACCTCATCTCCATTAAAAACAGAAAAATTAGCCAGGCACGGTGGCACATGCCTGTAGTCCTAGCTACTCAGGAGGCTGAGGCAGGAGGATCCACTGAACCTGGAAGGCAGAGGTTGCAGTGAGCCAAGATCATGCCACTGCACTCCAGCCTGGGTAACATCAGAGTGAAACCCTGTCAAGGAAGGAAGAAAGGAGGGAGGGAAGGAGGGAGGGAGAGAGGGAGGGAGGGAGGGAGGGAGGGAGAGAGGGAGGGAGGGAGGGAGGGAAGGAAGGAAGGAAGGAAGGAAGGAAGGAAGGAAGGAAGGAAAAATAAAAATCTGCAAAAGTTTTTTTGGTTTTATTTATCTTCACATCACATTTGGAATTACATTGTTTCATAATTGAACCCAATTATGAGTCAGTTAATCCAAATGAGCAGGTTCTTATGGAAATTAAAGCATGATTAATTTGTATAACACTTTTCTTCCAAGGATCTCAAAGTATTACTCTTTGAGAAATATAAGGAGGGTGCTTTCTCCACCACAGTTTCCAGATAGGGAAGTAATGATAAGTATTTTCATTCTTAAGTGATTTGGGGTTGACAAAACATCTGTATGTACAAAATAGGGGCTCAATAAATATTGTTTAAACATGTGTACCTATTTCTTCGTTAGATCTTCACTATAACCCAGAGATATTCGCAGGCATCATAAGCCCCTTTTTATGGATGGGAAAACTGAGGCTCACAGAGTTTAAACAAGCTGACCAGGATCACTCAGATGAAAAGTGGCAGAGCTGGGATGAAATTCAAACCCAGCTCCACAGTACATGCTTTCTCATTCATTCAGAAGTATTTATTGAGCACCAACTATGTGTGCGTTCAGAGAGGCCAATTGGTTTTTGAAAGATCACAGTCTTTTCATCTTCTCCTCCTTGCTAGAAGAGCACCTCCAAGATCTCTGCATCAGGGAAGAGACAAGGGACACCATTTCCCCACCCACATCTCCTCCTGACCCTGCTGCTCCATGGTACCCACTACCTCTGCAGCTGTGCCCTGAGGATCAAGATAAGATACTGCTGAGGGTCACAAGGCTAGGAAGCAGGTGGCTGTGATGATCATTCATGTTTAGAAATCACCAAGGATTCCTGGTTCCTTCTTCTTCCAGACACACGCGTAATAGAATCGCACTTCCTGGCCCCCGGTGGCTGCGTGGGACCGTGCTACCAGATTTGGCCAGTGATTTATGAACAGAGGTGAGATGTGTCATCTCTGGGCCAAAGCACTTCATTGTCAAAGCAGGACCCACTAGAACTTCCCACTCCTTTTCCTCTGGCACATCGGCTGCTCCATCAGCCTGGGGCCCTGTGTCAACACAGTCAGCTAACGTCTTCTGTGAACCCACAGTGGATGTGTCGCGTGAATGCAAAATAGGACTTTGTTGTTTTAAGCCACTGAGATTTTAGGGGTTATTTTTTACTGCAGCAAACTTAGCCCAGACGGAGTTGCAGCATTGCATAAGAGAAACCCCAGCTTCAGCTGGGATGGGAGCATGGAGACCCCAGCATGGAAGCAGGACCCTCCGATGGGTCAGACGGCTTCTGCATGGCAGAAAAGGGACCGTGACATGGTGGCAATGCTGCTACAACCACTCACTGTGGCTCAGAAATGATATTATTGGCCAAATTCCTACCGTTAACTCATATCTGCCTACTTAATAAGCTTTACCCTGTAGCTGGCTGGTTTATAGGAACAGCCACCTAAAATACTCTCACTGGATATTTTAATTGAAAATCAGTGTGTGCAGCAATAGTTTCCAAGATATAATTTTGAATGTGCCTTTCTCCATTTCTAATAGGATATTGTAAAACTTCTTCCCACACAACAACAACAAAACAAAACAAAAACTCTGTTTATTCTACACTCCAGAAACTACCTAACTCTAACTCTGTTGCTGAACAAAGCACAAATCAATCACTGACACTTGAGGAATCACATTGCTCAGCCTGCAGCAGGCAGTGACAGCCCAGCTCCGCCCAGGTGAGGACAGGTCATCTCCACAACATAGGGGGAAGGGAAGCAGAGTGCCTCCTCCTCACCTGCTCAAGAACCAGAGTGTGGCGACCTCCGTGGCCCATCACAGATGGACCCCCCCCTCGATGACTAGCCCCTTCCCTCGTTCAAACTCGGATCAAGTGCCCAGTTTTGTTTTGTTTGCTTCTTCTCCAGAATTCCTCCCACATAAGCCTGTGTCCTGTGCCGGAGTCAGAGAGGAAAAGCCACAGCCAACCCTAATGTCTGCTCGGACGAAGCATCAGGTAGCAAGAAGGTCCACAGCATTTCTGAGCAGCCACTCCCCTCCCCCATTTCCTCCTCCAGCACCCAGGGTGCGGGGGAGGGCAGCAGAAGCCACAGCAGCAGGTGGGACTGAGGCCCCCGAAAGCCCACGTGGCGTCCCCAGCTCTTCCTGCTGACCACACGTGCACAGCCAGGCCCGCAGGAGACAGTGGCCCCGGCCCACGGGAGGTCCAGAGTAACCCTTCCCAAGGACTCACAGCCGCCCACCTCACCTGGATGATGACAAGAATTCACAGCCGCCCACCTCACCTGGATGATGACTTCTTTTGCTCTATATTCCTCTTGCAGGGCCTTGGAAAATGTGCACACAAATGCCTGGAGCAAGAAGGAGAAACACCTGAGGCCCCAGAGTGTGCTCCCTTGTCGAGCCAACTTCCTCCGACTTCAAGGGGCACTGCAGAGACACTACCTGCTAGACCTTAAAACAGAGTGGGCAGCCGTGGGTTCGGAGGGTAAGGTGGGTATGGAGGGTATGGAGGGTATGGTGGGTACAGAGGGTACAGTGGGTACGGTGGGTACGGTGGGTACAGAGGGTACGGAGGGCACGGAGGGTATGGAGCGTACAGTGGGTACCATGGGTACGGTGGGTACGGAGGGTACGGTGGGTACGGAGGGTACGGAGGGTACGGTGGGTACGGTGGGTACGGTGGGTACGGAGGGTACAGAGGGTATGGTGGGTACGGAGGGTACGGTGGGTACGGAGGGTACGGTGGGTACGGGGGGTACGGAGGGTACGGTGGGTACGGTACGGAGGGTACGGTGGGTACGGTGGGTACGGTGGGTACGGAGGGTACGGTGGGTACGGTGGGTACGGAGGGTACGGTGGGTACGGTGGGTACGGTGGGTACGGAGGGTACGGTGGGTACGGTGGGTACGGAGGGTACGGTGGGTACGGAGGGTACGGTGGGTACGGTGGGTACGGTGGGTACGGAGGGTACGGTGGGTACGGAGGGTACGGTGGGTACGGAGGGTACGGTGGGGTACGGTGGGTACGGTGGGTACGGAGGGTACGGTGGGGTACGGAGGGTACGGTGGGTACGGTGGGTACGGAGGGTACGGTGGGTACGGTGGGTAACGGTGGGTACGGAGGGTACGGTGGGTACGGAGGGTACGGAGGGTACGGTGGGTACGGTGGGTACGGAGGGTACGGAGGGTACGGAGGGTACGGTGGGTACGGAGGGTACGGTGGGTACGGTGGGTACGGAGGGTACGGAGGGTACGGTGGGTACGGTGGGTACGGAGGGTACGGTGGGTACGGAGGGTACGGTGGGTACGGTGGGTACGGAGGGTACGGTGGGTACGGTGGGTACGGAGGGTACGGAGGGTACGGTGGGTACGGAGGGTACGGAGGGTACGGTGGGTACGGAGGGTACGGTGGGTACGGAGGGTACGGAGGGTACGGAGGGTACGAAGTTTCAGCTGCACAGGGTGAATTTGTTCTGGAGACCGACTGTACAGCGTGGTGACAAAAACTAACAATCATAGACCCCATACCTGAAGATTGCTAAGCAAGTAGATCTCAGGGGTCCTCACCACAAAAACAAAACAAAAACGGTAAGTATGTGAGGTCATGGATATGTTAATTCGCTTGACTTGATCATTTCACAACATATACATATATCAAAATATCACCTTGCATACTGTAAATAGACACAATTTTTGTCAAATATGCCTTCATGAAGCTGGAGAGTGGGGCAGAAAGAGAGTAAGGGGAAAAATGAACCAGCTTGTCCTGATGGGAGTTAGCACTTCATCCCCTGCTCTGGGAAGAGGGCCCCCCACTCAGCAAGAATGTCTGTTTTGGGATAAACCCATCCCTAGGGCCACTGCATGTATTAACCTCCTCAGGCTGCGTTTATGGCTAGCGCATGGTCAGGCCAGACCGCCCAGTCTGGAAGGAAGCTACAGTGTCCCTTGTCAGCAGGAAGACAGCGAGGGCTCCCGGAGGAGGTGAGCGGGGCTGGCATCCCTGGAGGCTGGCCGGGTCGTGCACCGCAGGGCTTCCTTCATGTGCCGGGAGCAAGGGCTTTATTCTAATTTCCTCTTGGGCTTCCCAGTGACTAGCTCAGCCCTGCACATATGAGAGCGTCTCCAGGCAAACCTTTCCATCAACGTGCCAGATGATCAAAGGAAATCGCCAACTGGGAGAAATAAGAGGAAGTAGGCAGAGACTTGGAAGTCATGACATCACTCACCTTGGAAGCTGAATACATGGAGTAGAGAGGCCAAGGAAACAGGGCTACCCCGGAAGAAATGTTCAGGATGAGACCTTTCCGCCTGAAAGGCAAAGAAGCAAAGTTCCCATGGTTTTGTTGCCCACCCGACCTTGGGTACAAAGAAAACAAAGGCGCCAGTGTGAACACTGCCGGACTCTGCCCTTTCTAGGCTTCCGCAGGTGCTGGGGGCTCTGCTTCTAGGAACGGTGAATGAACTTCCCCCGCCTTCCCCCGGAGGGCGCCACGCAGCGATGTCTGAATTTCCGGCGCACAGAGATGCCACCGGGCAGTTATGTGACGTCACACAATGTGAGGGGCTTGCTCCTGGAGACAGAGGCCCTGCTACAGCTGCGGTCTCTCCACCAAAATACTGATAACCAGCTCAGCTCAGGATTTAAGGGGAGGGAATCCTTCTCCCCTAAATGTGACCACATGAGCTGCCGGTCCCTTTGGCCTCACGGACCCACAGCAGGACGGATGTCACATGCTGGAATGTTGTCTTGGGTAGACTTTCACAGTCCAGGACCTGCTCACACAGATACCCTATGCCAGTCTCCAGGAGCCTCACTTGTCCTTTTGAAATTCAGTATCCTTAATCCCTCCCAATCAGACGGATTCGATAGAGGAGTAGGGGACAAGAAACTGCAAATTAGAATCCAAGGCCAAGCCCCTTCTCCCTCTAGGGAAGATAAGCTATCAAGCATTTGCTTTTAACGACACCACCTGAGAAAAACCACCTCCCAAACGCGCATTGGAAGAGGTGACGTAAATATGCAATCAGTGGAGGAGCTGACAGAGCGGCCATTTTCACATTAAACCGGAGTATTCTTTCTGACAGAAGCTGAAATTCCTAACAAAGAGATGGTCGTGATCTCAGGACAACTTCTGAAGTTTTCTTTTACACTCAACATTCGTTAATTTTTCTTTAATCCAGTGCGTGTTGAAACTGCCCTTGTCTTCCTCCCTCCGATAGTGTTACATTTGACCTTCAGTGAGATTGTCTATTTGCAGAGCTGGCCTGGCCCGGAACGTTATGTTTTTTTCCCATAATCACCGTGTGCTTTCATCGTAGCTGTTACCGTTTGTGAAAGCACAGCCAGGTGGACTCTGTGTCCCAGTCCCCGAGTTAGCTGACCGCCGGGGCAGGGAGGCCACGTGCTCCACACTTTTTTGAAGAAGGCCTTACCTTGATTCCATATGTTTCAGAATTAGCTGTGTCATCTACAAGAGAAGGCCACAGGTAAGCCCCACAAGGAACTGAGTAGCAGTGCAAGGGGGCGGGATGGAATGGGGACGGGAGCGCGGGAGGAAGCTGGGAAAGAGTCTCATCTTCTCAGAAGGCCTTGAAAATTGCTGGCACTCATTGGAGGTCACTCTGGCCACATTGGAGTCTGGCTGGAACCCACAGCAGCCAACCGAGACAAATGACAGGCTGTTCTGGGGCCTCTGGTTTCTTCCCCCTAAAGCTAATGTCTTCCTGGAAAAAGAGGGCAGTGAAAAATGGGGCGAATTGGCTTACGGCGGTGGAACCAACACTGAGGTTCCCATGATACTCTTCATTCTGCCGGACAGGCCAAAGTGGACTGGCCATGAGTTGGAACTGGGAGCTATGTGGAACCTAACACAACCCACAGACAGAAGAACACGTCTTCCACTCAACAGCAGCCGCTTACGCAGCCTGCAGCTGGCTGTGAAATAGCTCTGTGCACACGCGCGCAGCCACTCCTGTGTATCGGAATTACGAGAGCCTTGAGCAGCCCCTTCCCCCTCCCAGCCTACAGACCCCTGAAAAGGTCTTCTCTGCCATTTCGGGAGCCTAAAAGAACTTTTTGTTTCAAAATTACAAGGTACACGTTCTACAAACGAAGGAAGAGGCGACCCCGTGGACTGAAATGTTCTCTGAGGTAGGATTGACCGGAATCGGGCCTGGCAGGCCTGGAGCAGACCCTGACTGCGGCAGGTTTGAGACGAGGCACCCAAGTGAAAGGAGAGGGGCAGAGGCATCAAGGCACCTGGGGACCGGAAGACACAGGCCGCCCATTTCTCGATGCTGTCTAGGGGCCCTGCAGCTGCTCCTCGCAGGTGCCCCCTCCCAGGCCAGGCCCCAGCCTGTCTCAGAGCCTTCAGGGAACATCTTCGCTGCTGGGGGACCAGGGGGCCAGGGCAGTGGGGGGGGTGGGGCGGAGGCTCTCTAGAACCACTAGGCTGCCTGTGGAACACTGGATTTTGAGGAAAAAGAGAGAGGATGAGGGGCGAGATGGTGTCAGCCCTCTTTCCGTGAATGACTTCCTAGGGATATTGTATAAGCCTTTTCAGCCAGCACCCACATTGCCTCAAAGCCTCCTGAACGAACTCACTAGCCCTATTGCCTGAATGATTCCAATTAGAGAGACAACACTGAATCTTGTGGGTCCCTGCCTCAAGGCTTCCAACATTCAGCTTCTGATTCCACCTTCCCTTTGCCCTCAAACGCATATTCTCCCATCCCTGCCCCGAAGAGCACTCGGCCGTCTCCAGATGGCTCCTTTGAAATAGTGCAGCTTCTCTAGTCACGCTTCTAACCAGCAAGGTTCACCTGGGCATGGTATACTTAGAAGCTAAACTTCAATTCATTTTATTTGTTACTTAGGGAACTTAGTGTTTATCAATACATAATTTTTTAAAACAAATCAAAGCATTTCTCTGCTAAAGGAGTCAGAGGGTTGTCAAGTACATTTGGGAAATGCCTATGATCAAACAGCCCAAGACTAAAAGGTCAGTTGTAAAATAATGTGAAAGACTTTAGTGGTGAGGCTGCAGATGACAGTTAGACACACAAAACTCATAATTGCATCAGCTGGGGCCTCCAAAAAGCCGTCGATTGCTAAGCATAAAAAGATGTGTGTACCCCATAGCAACTGAGCAGGAAACCATAAAATGCCAGCATGCTTACAGAAAAACAACCAACAGTTATTGTCAGCTCAACTTATCCACCTGAAAAAAATTTTTTTTTTTTTGTCTACTCTGCCTCCATTTCCCCTCCTTATCTTAACAGCAGCCTGGCTTTCTTTGGGAAATCTGTCCTTCGCTACTGTCAGTCCACGGTGCTTAGATGGGTGAGACTGAGCCTTCCGCTACTCTCCAACCAGGGTCCCAGCTCCTTGAAATCAGGAATCAGATTTTACTCATCCCTGCAGTCCCACTGACCTTCCAGAGTGGTCACCGAGGCTGCCATATACAGCTGTGAGTGTTGTGTACTGAGCAAGGTGCCCAGCTGTGGGGTTAGTGCAGGTGGGGAGCTCAGAGCTCACTCACAAGCCATGTGCCCTAGTAGAGGAAGAGGGCTGTGTCCCCAGAGGAAGGGGGAACACGTCATTCACACAAAATCCTCATCTACTCACCAAGTCACGCAGCCGCAAGCTGTGTCCATTCTTAAACAGTACCTTTCTCTAAATGGTCTATATAGGATAGCTTTGAGGGACCCGTGCTATACATCTGTGTGCAGCTGACCCTCATCAAAGAACTTGAATGCTGAATGGTACCTAGGACATCTCTTGATCCACAGCCATTTTATTTTTATTTTTATTTTTATTTTTTGTTTTTTTGAGACAGAGTCTTGCTCTGTCGCCCAGGCTGGAGTGCAGTGGTGCGATCTCAGCTCACTGCAACCTCTGCCTCCGCGGCTCCGGAGATTCTCCTGCCTCAGCCTCCCAAGTAGCTGGGATTACAGGTGCCCGCCACCACACCCAACTAATTTTTGTGTTTTTAGTAGAGACGGGGTTTCACCATGTTAGCCAGGATGGTCTCGATCTCCTGACCTCATGGTCCACCTGCCTCGGCCTCCCAAAGTGCTGGGATTACAGGCATGAGCCACCGCGCCCAGCTGATCCACAGCCTTTTAATAGCAGATGCAGAACCTCAAGTTCAAGGGGGCTACATAACTTGTCCAATGCTGTCCAACTAATTAGTAGCTGTGCTGGAACCAGAACACAGATGAACTTGAGCTTTGATTCAACAAATATTTATTGAACAACAAAAGTTCAGAAAATGTAAGCCATGCCCTCTGTCAGTTTTCCAAAGTGAGCTTTCCTCTATCTACAAAGCCTAAAATTAGAGGAAGAGACTGATTTTTTTTAAGTTGCCTCTGAATCCTGAATACGTTTCAGCATCATCAAGCTTAATATGTTCCGACATGTGACAAAACTGAAAGCAGAAATAGAATTCAGATACAAGGGAGAGTTGAATCCATTACTGTATTTTCTAGATGAAAAACAGAACAAGACAATTACAAGACCACGACATGGCCTCTCAACTAAGTGCGGTTCGATTTCAAAGAAGGCTGCTTCTACCGTGGACGGGCACAATTCTCCTGAGTTGCCAAACTTCAACAGCTACTACATGTTAATGCATTTCGCACACATATTGATCACATACCTTGACTACGGAGGTGATGTTACAATGGATGACGCTCTGTAATAAATAATCACAACCACACATCAGCTGGATGATTAGAGAAATTCTCCTGGAAAGTAGTCAGTGCTAAAGAACCATGAAGAGGGCAAAAGTGCATGTCTGAGCGGTTTCATCATTCACCCTGCAAATTAGGCTCCTAACTGACTTCCAGCAAGCATGCACTAGCATCAAGAAACATCTGACTCCCATTCTGTCCTTCTGTACCTATGTCATGTTGACTAGACGTCAATTAAGAGTTTCCGGGAAAACTTGGAACTATATTACCGGAGGAATATAGATATGGTTTTTCAAAGACAGCTATTCCATTCCCAGCTGGAGGAAGAGGGGTTAGCATATGTGAGTCTAGGAGAACAGAAAGGCAGATGGTTGTATAATATAAGGTAGAGGTTCTGGGCTATGGAGGGCAGGTAAAGAACCCACTAGAATCACCCAAGATAAAGAGAAAGGAAAAGAGGATGGACACAGACTGTAGCACAAACACAGACACACACAGGCAGAGGAGCAAGCCTGGAACTTGCTTCCTGGAGAGACATAGACTTGTGCCAGAAACAGAGTGTGGGAGACGGAGCCCACACAGGAGATGTGTGGTCCTGAGAGGAGTTTGGTGAGGATGTGCAGCAGCGCCCAAGCAGTCTGGCATTATCACCCGGGGCAGCAGACTCGGGGCTTACACAGGACTGCAGGATACCTGCAGAAATGGGGATGGACGCATGAGGGCCTGCTCAGGTTGGTGCAGCCCTGTGACTCCAAAGGTCAGGGCCTAAGGAAGGGTCAACAAATTGTGCCTTCGAAAACTGTTAAATGCAACCGGGCGCGGTGGTTCACACCTGTCACCCCAGCATTTTGGGAGGCCGAGCCGGGCGGATTACCTGAGGTCAGGTGTTCGAGAGCAGCCTGACCAACATGGTGAAACCCCATCTCTACTAAAAATACAAAAATTAGCTGGGTGTGGTGGTGCATGCCTGTCGTCCCAGCTACTCAGGAGGCTAAGGCAGGAGAATAGCTTGAACCCAGGAGGCGGAGGTTGCAGTGAGCCGAGATCATGTCACTACACTCCAGCCTGGGCGACAGAGGGAGACTCCATCTCAAAAAGAAAAAAAAAGGAACTGTTAAAGCCATTAAAAATGTACTCCCAACCAACAACGGCAGCCATGGGTCTGAGTCAAGCTTACTGAACTTACAGTCCTGCCAGCCACAGAGTTTGTGTCACATACTTCCCTCACACTAAAAGTTAAACAAATCTTGGTACCTGGGAAGACAGAGAAAGCCAAAGAGCTGGTGTTCTCCCATGTGTGGTGACAGCTGCGAATGTGTTAGGCAGAATTACGCTTTATAAAGTGGAGTGCAGCGCCCCAAAAGAATGGGACAATGGACAGGTAAGTTTTGATGTGCAGAGAAGAAGGAAGATGTCCATATCCCAGAGATACCATGAAAAGTGGTACTGCTGACTATGGATCGAGTGCTCAGGTGAAGAGAAAAGGGGGCCTGAATACACACAGTCCAGGATTTCGGCCGGATGCACGCTTCCATCGCTCCTTCCCGGGCCTGACTCGTTACCCAGCCAGGGGACCCAGAACCTGGGTAAGAGGAAAGTATGCACAGAAGAGCACAAGTCTACCTGGATTTCATCTGGCGCGTTCAGGAAATGGCTTGGGAGAAGGTTTGGAAGCATTCCGACATTGTTGACTGGCAGAAAGAAGCAAAACAAAAATGTGTCAGGATATCAGGTGGGAGATTTTCCCAAAGAAACATGTACAAAAAGATTGACATGTAAGGTTGCTCATCACAGTGTGATTTGATAACAGGGAGGAAAGTGGAGGGAAAATTTTGTCCCATAGTAGGAGACACCATCAGTGAATCATGGGGTGGTCATACGCTGGAATGCAGTGTAGTCATTAAAAACTATGACTGGGCTGTTTACATGGGAGAAGATGCATGATGTAAGTTTTTTTTAAAATATATGACAAAACAGCACATATGTATAATTCTGGTTTTGAAAATACATGTGTGTTTAGGATTAGAAAAGTATGTACCAAAAGGCTATCTCAGAGTATTGAGATTTTAAGAGATTCATATTTATTTTATCAGCCTGTCTATTCTTTCCATTTTTTCTGCAATGATATACTGTACACTTTCATATATAAAAATGTAATTATTTTTAAAATTCAGCAGAAGGTTTAGAAATCCAATTTGACTTTCTTCTATGTATACTATAAACACTGCACTGTGCACGTGGCCATAAAATAGCTTGTCTGTAAATCATTACAGAAACAAATACTATATTGTTTTCTGAATAAGAAAGAGTCAATTCTCAACTAACTATAGTATTTCACGGATTAATCACAGCAATGTTTGTTTGCTAAACTAATTCCTTTAGGCCAATGTTTCTGGGATTCTTTTTCTGCCAAATGCCAACACCAGTTCCATAAAAGAAAATTCATTTTAATATTAGAAAATATAGTTGGTCCGGCTGGGTGTGGTGGCTCACACCTGTAATCCCAGCACTTTGGGAGGCCAAGGCGGGTGGATCACAAGGTCAAGAGTTTGAGAGCAGCATGGCCAATATGGTGAAACCGTGTCTCTACTAAAAATACAAAAATTAGCTGGGCGTGGTGGCGGCGCCTATAATCCCAGCTGCTTGGGAGGCTGAGGCAGGATAATCGCTTGAACCTGGGAGGCAGAGTTTGCCGTGAGCCCGGATCGCACCACTGCACTCCAGCCTGGCGACAGAGTGAGACTCCATCTCAAATTAAAAAAAGAAAATATAGTTGGGGGTTGAAATATGTATGTTTGATACATTCCAAACCAATATATAAATTTTTTATTCAGTGATGCCTCTAGAAGAAGTGTGCTTTGATATTCAACTTAACGCTATAGCTTAAAATATAGTCATGGTTTCAGCATAAATCACCATGAAATAATCAGGTGTCACTAATCAGTGCCAGGTTATTTCACTGATGTATTACAACAAGCTTTGCATCTTGCAATTTACTCACCTAAAATTCCAATTTCTAAGCCTGTAAGTTTTTCTTTAATATGCTCGTAGATGTCATCTTTGGTAAAATCTGCTTGTATAATCTTCACACTCCTCCCCGTAGTCCGCTCTACATGAGAGACAACAGTTTTTTCAATGAACAGGGATCCAGATGCCCCCTTGCCTGTGAAGTACTCCTGTATTACCTGAGCAGACATTGAAGAGGACAGCCCATTGCCCCAAACAGAAATGGGAGATGGCGCTGGGTAAATGCTGGGAGGTGCTAAGAGATTGGTGAATGGTGGTTTCTACGTGTCTCTAAGAGTTACTGCAGGGACGCGTATATGCATTAAGATAGATTTACTGCAACGGTTCTCAAAGTGGAGTCCACAAACCACAGCATCAGGGTTACAGGGAAACTTGTCAGAAATGCAAATTCTCAGGCTCTACCCCAGACCGACTGTGTCGGAAACTGTGGGTGAAGCCCAGCCAGCCACCTGCTTAACACACCTCCGAGTGACTCTGCTGCTTGCTCAAGTTTGAGACGTCAGACTGACAGCTGTAAAAGCAAGGTCTGACACTGCCTCTGCTCACAAGTGTCAAGTCTCCTCCACACAGACCCACCAACTCTTTGTATGTGTCCAATGCTTTAGCACTCACAGAGCATTTACATATACGATGTCTTATGGTCATCGTCCCTACCACATTCTAAAGTAGACATTATGGTTTTCATTTTCCAGAGGAGAAAATGAAGGCTCAGAGAAGCTAACTGACATACCCAAGACCGTCCACTCTCTGGTCACTCCAAGTTCAACGCGCTCCCCACTACTCTGTGTTCACTTGCCTTCTGTAAGAGTTTTCTGGCAGACGTGAAAGCAACAAGCAGAGTTTACCAGTGGCTTGGTGAGCTGCTTTGCTTTGGAGTTAGCTGGTATTTGTGGGCCAAGCAATCTTGAGGCATAGTTCAGGGGTGGACAATGCTTTCAGGACAAAGACACTACTTACTTTTCAAAAGGATGATAAAAAGCACATTTCAGCATGGTGAGGCAAACACTGAGGATTGTCTCAGTCCTAGTCAAAGTTACTTCTGATATCCAGACACAGAACAAAAGCAGAATTCATGGGTTCAAGGGCACTGTGCTCCACGGTGTGACTGCACAGCCCACACCTCCCACACCCATCTCCTGTCCCAGATCTCCCCCAGGGAGACAAGGCTCAACCCTGACAACCCACCATGGTCTTCACAAGTCTCCAGAACTAACGTCTCATCCCTTTGAGTTAAAGAGTTTATTAATTATTAAATTAATAATTATTAAGATTAAAAGGTCCCAAAAGAAATATGATTATCATTATTAACAAAAGAACTCTTCAGAGCAAATCATAATAATAAAACATTGTGATATAAAAGTTGCCTCAGGGTTGTACAGTGTACAACCTCCACGTCCATACATGATGATCCTGGATCAAAACTGTTTTTAAAATCTGACAACCACCAGTAAGCATTGTCGCTCATCCTCCTGCCAAGAGCAGAGCATAGGCACAGGGAAGGGAAGTCCCAAACACTGATCTTGTTTTTGTTTTTGTTTTGAGACGGAGTCTCGCTCTGTCACCCAGGCTGGAGTGCAGTGGCTCCATCTGGGCTCACTGCAAGCTCCGGCTCCCGGGTTCACGCCATTCTCCTGCCTCAGCCTCACGAGTAGTTGGGACTACAGGTGCCGCCACCACGCCTGGCTAATTGTTCGTATTTTTAGTAGAGACGGGGTTTCACCGTGTTAGCCAGGATGGTCTTGATCTCCCGACCTCGTGATCCGCCCGCCTCGGCCTCCCAAAAGTGCTGGGATTCCAGGCATGAGCCACCGCGCCCGGCCACTGATCTTGCTTTTGAAGGGAGTGGCAGAAGCAACCGGGCAGCCAGGGCCTCAAGGATGAGCAGAGCTGATCTAGCGACAAAGGCACCAACCCAAAGGAGAAAGTGGACCTATCTGTGCCTCAGCTGGTTCCTGCTTCCGCCGGCTCACAGCACCAGTGTGCACTGAAGGTGACACCTTCCATCCCGCCCCCTGCTTGGTAACCAGGCTGCCCGGGAGAGTTGGTGCCCCAGGCCCTGAGAGCAGATGTGGGGATGCCAAGTACGTCAGCTGGCAGGGTGGGCGCAAGCTTGGTTGGTGGGCTCCACACACATCTCCCTTGTTTGGGGGTCACTCACCGATCTCTGTGGCAGTGGCCTGTAGTTTTTCCAGCGTCCGGCTGATAAGCACGACATCGAGTCCACGTCTTGCTAGCTGAGAGTGGGAGTGAAAAACCAAAAGAGACAAGGATGGTGAGCAGACAGGGAGGGTTTGTGTCGAGGTGACTTGGTCCCGAGGCTGTGCGTGTCCTGGCAGTGTGACGTGGTGGCTTCACTTGGGTTGAAGTGTGCAGAACGTGACAAAGCTTTCTGGGCTAGGAACAGCGCAACCCCAGTGGATCACCTCAAGTGATCTACCCGCCTCAGCCTGAGGTCAGGAGTTCAAGACCAGCCTGGCCAACATGGTGAAACCCTGTCTCTACTAAAATTACAAAAAAAAAAAAAAAAAAATTAACTGGGCGTGATGGCGCATGCCTGTGATCCCATCTATTTGGGGGGGCTGCAGCAAGAGAATCGCTTGAACCCGGGAGGTGGTGGTTGCAGTGAGCCGAGATTGTGCCACTGTACTCCAGCCTGGGTGACAGAGCAAGACTCCGTCTCACAAGAAAGAGTTACATATTATAGAAAACACATAAGAAGCTGAATTATGGTCTATGAGATACAGTCTCCAATAGCCAGTAATTCACTGTAGCCCACGGTCTCAGAATCACCCAAGGAGATGTCAAAAAAAAAAAAAAAAAAACACCGATTCCCACCAAACCATCTGATATGGTTTGGATCTCATGTCAAATTGTAATCCCTAGTGTTGGAGGTGGGGCCTGGTGCGAGGTGATTAGATCGTGGGGACCATTTCTCATGGTTTAACACCATCCCCCAGGTGCTGTCCATGGTAAGAATGAGTCATCCAGGGATCCGGAGATTTAGAAGTGTGTAGCACCTCCCGCTCTTCCTGCTGCTCCAGCCACGTGATGTGCTCACTCCCCTTTTACCTTCCGCAGTGCTTGTAAGTTTCCTGAGGCCTCCAAAGCTGAGCAAATGCAAGCGTCATCCTTCCTGTACAGCGTGTGGAACCGTGAGCCAATTAAACCTCTTTTCTTCATAAATTACCCAGTCTCAGGTACTTCTTTATCGCAGTGCAAGAACGAAATAATACACCATCCTGATAAAAATCTCTGGGGTGGAAGCCTCAGGATTTTCATCTTTTTCTGTTTGTGTTTATTAAATTATACTATTATATGCACAAATACATCCTCATTGTAAAAGATTCCAACAATGCCAAGGAAAAACATGTCTCCAAGCCTGTCCCTGCCCATCTCCCCACCCACCCTAGGCTCCCACCACCTTCAGTTTGTTGTTGAGCCTTCCCTAACTTTTTCTCTACATTTACAGGCATATATCGGCACATAGAGAAATAAAGGTTTGTTTTGTGAGTTTTATTTATTTTTATCCTACATAAATGACATTATAAGCAGCGTCCTGCAATATTCTTTTTAACTTAATGACATATTTTATCTCTAAGAATCGTGTATATTTCCATAGCAGTCCACGAAGAACCACTTGATTCTTTTCTATTGCTCCGTGGTATTCTAGAGTTCACCTTTGAACGAGCACTTAGGGTGTTTCCAAGTTTTTCTATTACCAGTCTTGCTGCAGTGAAAGACCTTCTATATAGCTCTTTGTATATGTGAGTAAATTAATTCCTATATACTGTATAGGAATATTTGGGACTGCAGATGCCATCATGCCTGGCTAACTCTTTATTTTTTGTGGAGATGAGGTCTCACTATGTTGGCCAGGCTAGTCTTGAACTCCTGGGCTCAAGTAATCTTCCCGCCTCAGCCTCCCAAAGTGCCAGGATTACAGGGGTCAGCCACCACACCCGGCCCCTTTATTGTTATCCAATTATCCAATTGTCAGTGGGGCTGAGCATCATTTGCTATGTTATGTGTGAGTTACCAGTACATACCCCTTGCCCATTCTTCTGTGGAGTAACTTATCATTTTCTTACCAATTTGTAGAAGTCGTATATATCCCGGGTATTGATTATTTGCCTGCCATGTACATAGCAAGTATTTTCTACTTTGTTTCTGGTGCCCTTGTCATACATTATATACTACTTGTAATGTTATCACATTTATGAATATTTTCCTTGTTTTATATGTTCTTTTTGATTTTCCTTAACTTCAAGGATATAAATATGCTTTTCTATATCCTTTTTGTTTGTTTATTTTTGAGAATGGTATGAGGTTGAAATTATTCCATAATATGTTTTTCAAATTGGGTGCCTAATTGTCTCAACAACATTCTCCACTTTGTCCATTCATTCCTAATTTAAAATGTTGACTTAGTCCTATGCTTAGTTCTCATGTGTGCCTGGGGCTGTTTCTTGTCTATCGTTTCTGTTGCACTGACCTATTTATCAATCTCCATGCCAGGGCCACTTCTGATTTAATCATAAGCATATATTAGCCTTTGATAGCTTTCCAATATTTGCGTAGTTTTGACCTCATTATCTTAGCTGACCCCTCCTATACAATGTTAAGGAGGCTCCTACCATTTATTATTCTCTTTCAAAATTTTATTTCATCTTCTTTGTTTAATCTTCCAAATAAATGACAAAATTGTCTAGACAAGTATTAAAGTAGGGATATTTAGGGAAAAATTTATATCTTTGCAGGAATCAGTTGTCTTACTCATAAGTATATTATAGTATCCATTTTTTTTCAAATCTCATATAGCCTTCTAAACATTTAAAAGATTTTTCATGTAAATCCTGGACATTTCTTGTTAGGTTTGTGTTAATTAGGATAACATTAGTTGCTGTAACAAATAACTCTATAATTTCAGCCGTTTAACACAAAGGAAGTCTGTTTTTGTCTTATGTAGCAGACCCTATTTCACATTTGGGAACCCATTCAGGACCCAAAGCTGAGAGAGCATTTGTCATCTTTACTGCCAGGTCTCTAAGATTGCTCTGGGCTTTGCCATCCAGCTAGTGCCAGGATTGAGAGAGGCTGGAGAAGATATGCCCTCTGTTAACCACCTTGATCAAGAAGTGACCCACATCCTTTCTGCTTGCTTTCATTTGCAGAATGAGTCTCATGGCCTCACACAGATGTCAAGGAGCCTGGGAAGTGCCCTGCTGGGAGCCACTTACCAGCTGCAACTCCACTCAAAGAAGAGAGAGTAGGGATCTGGGTGGACATTGAGTTGCTCCTGCCACCAGGATCTTATGTTTATTCACTGCCATGGTGACCTGAATTATTTTGGATAGAAGACACTTCAGGATTAAGTAGGTAGGTTCAATTCCTGTCTCTACCACTTATTTCTGTCAGCGCAAGTCAGTTGTTCTGGGGATCACAGAAGGGAATACATTCAAAAGTGTGTGGCACAGCTGGGCGCATTGGCTCACACCTGTAATCCCAGCACTTTGGGAGGCCAAGGAGGGCAGATCATGAAGTCAGGAATTCGAGACCAGCCTGACCAACATGGTGAAACCCTGTCTCTGCTAAAAATATAAAAATTAGCCAGGCATGGTGGCGCATGCCTGTAGTCCCAGCTACTCAGTGGGCTGAGGCAGGAGAATCACCTGAATCCGGGAGGCGGAGCTTGCAGTGAGCCGAGATCGCGCCACTGCACTCCAGCCTGGACGACAGAGCGAGACTCTGTCTCAAAAAAAAAAAAAGGTGTGTGGCAGAGAATCTGTCACATAAGAAGCCCTCAATTGTGTTACCTATTTTTCTATATATTCTAATTTGTTATTAATCGTGAGTGGGAGCTCTTTAAACAGCCACACCTCACAGAATTTTTTATTTGTTCTGCTAGGCTGTTCATCAGTGTTTGGTTTTCATCACAGACAATAGTATTCTCTGCAAAGAGTACAGTTTTCAATATTTGCATGTTTTTGGCCTCATGATCTTGGCAGACACTTCCAACACTTACAGTGTTTCTCAGGATGCAAGCATGAGGTTTCCTGTCACTTCTGGTAGATGTTCTTTATCAATTTAAGAACAATTACATCTGTTCCTTTTTTCCAAATTACTTTTTTAATAAACTGCTGGATTCCGTTGGCAAATATTTAAATTGGATCATACTTCTCTGATGCCATCCTTGTCCCATGTTGGTATCCGAGTCATGCTCATCTATCTGGATAATCTATCAAACATGTACGGGATCAACTTGTCCCAGGAGCTTCCCAGTTTTAAAACTGAAAGTCCCACATCTGAAATCACCTTTGCAAAAATTGTAACAGTGAGAAAATTATGGCAATAAAAGAGATCTGATCTAATCAACCCCTTATCTTGCCCGTAAGCTTTCAAATTATCCTTAATTATTCTTGATTTGGGCAAAGCTAACTTTGGGAGATACTTAGTTTATAATTTAAATTATAATAACCCGTTCCCAAAACTCAACCACCTTGGTAAAGCTAATGAAGGGCCACCAGGCTAGGAAGAGGAGAGGAGCCTGAACTCTGCTAAGGTGTAGACATAAACGATTACCCAGCATTATATTGGAGGTCACGAGATAGGCAACGTCCCCCAGTTACTCTTGCAGACAAATATCACTATTGTACAAGCCACGATTGGCCTTTTGAGATGTCTTTTCAGGTTTTTTGCATTTCTGATGACTGATGGTTCCACCTTGACCTGCCAGTTACTCCTGTGGTCTCCCATTCAGCCGGCTCTGTGTGAATTAAGCTCTTTTTCTATTGCAGTTCTGCTGTCTTGATAAATCAGCTCGACCTCGGCAGCAGGCAAAATGAACCTGTTGGGCGGTTACATATCCAAGGAACCCTCCAAGCACAGAAAAATCAAAAATCAAAGTTAACCATCCTAGAAATATGGGGGAGCTTTTTCTTATTCCTTGAGGATTTGGTAATATTGTAAAAATGTCTGGATATTTTATTCATCTGTAGCTCTTCATAACTGCCTCTTTCATTTTTTTCATGACTACTAATCGCTTGGTTTTTTTCTACTTCTTCTTAAGCCAATCGTGATCATTTATATTTTCACAGAAAATTGTTTATTTCATCCAGATTTTCAATTTTTCAGTACAAAGATTTAAATAGGATTTTCTTCCTCTCTTTTTCTTCTTCCTCTTCTTTTTAAAATAAATTTCCTCTTCTGTAGCTAGGTTCCTAAAATTGGTCCTTTTCTTTCTTCTTTTTTGTTCTTTTTCTTTATTTTTTTCTGAGACAGCATCTCACTCGTCGCCCAGGCTGGAATGCAATAGCTAGATCAGAGCTTACTGTAATCTTGAACTCCCAGGCTCCAGCAATCCTCCCACCTCAGCCTCCTGAGTAGCTGGGATTACAGGTGTGTGCTACCATTCCTGGCTAATTTTCTAATTTTTTGTGTATATGAGGTCTCACTACTTCGCCCAGGCTAGTCTCAGACTCCTGACTTCAAGGGATCCTCCTGCCTCCTCCTCGCAAAGTGCTGGGATTATAGGCATCAGCCACAGAGATGGACCCCCTTTGTTTTTTTTTTAATTTAAGATTTTTCAAAGATTTGTCTCTTATTTGGCATTTTTAAAGAATTGGTTTGACTGTTGGTTTGCTTTAAACGGATCAATTCCATTTCTTCCTGTGTTTTCTATATCATCAGTTTTTGTTCTCTATTAATTTCCTCCTTGTATCTCTTTTGGATTTTTTTTTTTTTTTTTTTTTTTTTTTTTTTTTTGGGACGCAGTCTTGCTCTGTCACCCAGGCTGGAGTGCAGTGGCCAGATCTCGGCTCACTGCAAGCTCCACCTCCCAGGTTCACACCATTCTCCTGCCTCAGCCTCCCGAGTAGCTGGGATTACAGGCGCCGCCACTGCGCCCGGCTAGTTTTTTGTATTTTTAGTAGAGACGGGGTTTCACCGTGTTAGCCAGGATGGTCTCGATCTCCTGACCTCGTGATCCGCCCGCCTCGGCCTCCCAAAGTGCTGGGATTACAGGCTGAGCCCCGCGCCCGGCCGCTGATCTTGCTTTTGAAAGGAGTGGCAGAAGCAATCAGGCTTCTTGTTCCTTTTCTAGAGTTTCTTGGAAGCTGAATCTGTTTATAATCTTTCTTTTTTTTCTGACAGATGCCTTTAAAGCCGAAAGTTTCCATCTGCGTAGC